CAAAACGTTTTTTATTTAATATTTCTGTAGTAAAATAAGCTACATCTAAAATAGTTTACATTTATCACTCTATAACAGCATTTTGCTATTTAATCATTACAAAATAACTCTAAAAGATGCGATCTTTTTAAGAAATACATATTTACGATTTGTTTTTACTTCTATTATGTTTTCATTAATTTAATATGGAATTTATCGCTTAAGCAACTTACACTGTGATATGTGTCATATATCAGTCTTACCCGACTATTGGGATAAATTGGCTACCTTGCAGCATGTTCGTATTTCACTTACTACAAAAAAACTATACAGTATACAGAATCTTTCCTGGCATGAAAATGTAGAGAAAGGTTCGACTGAACCTTTTATATATATTCTACCATATTAATATAGTTTAATCATAATAAATAGTTGTTTAGAAACAGGAATGTCTAAATTGTGAAAACTGTGCCAACGAGCCCCGGTCTCCCCTACAGTGACAAAATATTCGTTTATTTATTTCATCATTATTTTTGTCCTCAATGAACATTTTCTCGTCAGACTTATTTAATTATATTTACTAGTTGTACATTCTGCAAGAAACGTGTAATCATTAGTTTATGGAGACATTCGCTAATTGTAAGATGAACCTATATCCCAATCGGTCACACCAATTTGCTTCTGCATTTTTGAAAGCACCAATTTATAATTTCTCTTAATTTTCCTTCTTGTCCATTTTATTTCTTTTATTTAAATTATTTGTTACAGTCCTCTGTTTTGTTCGTATCAGCTCGCAGCGCTGATTAAATACAAAACCAAAATCAATACCAAAAATCGATCGCCCTGACCATCGCTAAGCCTATCCCTCGGGCAGCAATGTATCTTCTCTAAATGGGATGATATTGGCTGCACAATAATATACGGATCGCATCCGAACACACTCCTGACGCGCCTTCCAAATCAAATATTAAATCTGAATCGCGATCACAATGGAGAGAAGTAATAAAATAATAAAATAATATCTTCTGTCTTCCTGGGTACCAAACTATATATAGTATATACTGAGCAAGCTTAGCAAGCGCCGAGCAACGTCTAGCCGCTCGATTTACGCCGTCATGAACGAACATATAAGCATCATTAACTTTAATAAACAACAATGATAAAATGAGCATGACTCTCTCTGATAAACTATATAAATATGACAACCCTTAATAAAACATATAAATAATTAATTGATATAATAAAGCATATAAAATTCCCCATAATTAGATATAATTTTAACAGTTATGTGTAATTATTGTAATTATATATGGATCAATTTTTTCTCATTCTTTAAACTTAATTTTTGTAAAAGAAAATTATTTTGTTAATTATTTTTTATGTCTTTTCATTATTATTATTTGTTGCGCATATAGTTGTTGCGTATATGTTAGTGGGGCCACTACGCAGTTCTATGCATTCCGCGTCGCCGAGCGAAGCGGTAAGCAAATACGGCGGACAGACCATAAAGAAAATATCTTTTTGAATAAATAGAGTAATAGCCGAGTTCGGCGCCAGCCTTATCGCGCGACGTCGCGTCCGACGTTGCGTTCGATGTATTTATTTAAAAACAAAGAAAACGGCAGGACCAACCCATGAGTCTCGCATGACTCATGATTGGCCCATGCTCGCCGAGAGTTTCCCTATTAAGGGACAGCCCCGATGGGCCTAGACAGATACGATTTTCGTAGCGAAGCGTACGCTTAGAAAACGTAAAACCGAGTTCTCGAAAGTTATCGTGAGGCCGAGTCCTCCGCGAGACAATAAGAGGCCGAATCCTCTCGTAGAACCGAGGCCAAGTCCTCACATATATCGATATTAAAGAAGCCGAGTCCTCTCGTATCATATTATTAACGCGATCGAGTTTGTGTATATAAATTTTTGGTGTATTAGACAAGTCTCAGTAATAATAAACATTTTTTAAAAAACTAATACGTGGAGTGACCTTCCCCGTATATACGACTCACACATTATTACTTACCTTATATCAAACAAAAATTTTACAAAAAAGAAACTAAATTATAATATGGACATGCTTTTGTATATAATATATATATAACTTAAATTATTTAGAAAAACAATGACATTAAACTTTTGCTGCATATACTTTTGGATTAAACGGTTAATTCATTAAAAAAATATTTTTGGTTTAGAATAAAAGATTTTTGTCTCTATGTTTAATCAAATACTTGGCACAACTTCTATGATCTCATGATATTTGTTTTCGAACAACTTTTATTTGTTAAAATAATATTTTTGGTTTAGGAAAGATGTAATGTATGATACTTTTTATTATGTATTTGGCATTCATTTTTTTTTAATGATATATTTTTATGAATTTTTTATGAATAGTATTTCGATAACTATTGCGAAGATCGCAAAATAGTAGAGGACTTTCGATTCAGTTTAGAACACTCTACCTGCCCACGTGCGCTGTACCATTGAGTAGCGGACACCCTATATATTATATATATATATATATATATATAATATATAGGCTATAATATATAATATATATCCCTATTAAATTCTTAATGTATTACACAATTACAAGTTATTTTTAATAGCAGATGTGCCAGAAGGAAAAGCGAATTGATTTATTTCAATTCATTTTTTTAGATTTCTCTGATTCTATGGTAATATGACTATTTTTCAATTATACAGGGTGTTCGGTACTCAATGGTAAATCGTTCGTAGATAGAGTGGGCTAAACTGAGCAGAAAAGTCCTCTATCATTTTGCAATAATCTTCGCAATAGTTATCGAGATATTAATTTATAAAGATCACTGAATATGAACGCGTAGCGAAATACGGCCGCCCACCGCGGACCGCGATCGGCTACAGCGCACGGCGCGGGGTGGGAGGTAATTGTTTTAACAATACCACTACGCGATTGCCTAGCGCGGGGTGGAGGTAATGGATTATCGCGCGCTAGACAATCAATTACCCTCACCACGCGCTGCGCGCTAGGCAACCGCGATCGCGACCACGAATATATCGAATATAAAAAGTTTATTTATAGTTATTTTTATTTAATTAAACATCCACATTTTAAATTTATTCAAATAAATAATAAATAATAATATCTAAGGTAAAATATATGCTAAACAAAAAATTACTTATTTTTTTATTAGCAAATACGTACTTGGCAATAACTCGAAAAAGACTGAGGAATTGGAATTTATCAAGCGCTATTTATAAAAAACGTTGGAATTTATCAAAAGCTATTTACTAGTGTTGGCAGAGGGTGAAATCAGGCGAACACGTGCTCGGTTGTATTATAACAACTTTTTTATTATAAAGTACTTTCGTTGAAAAATAGCACTAACAGAAATAAGCGTGAAATCAAACGGAGAAAATACAAAGAAACAGTTTGAATTACAAAAAACGAATTTCGGATATTTGCTAAGGTAGCTGAACGAAGAAAAAACTTATTCTTTAACTCATGGAGTTACTTCGCGGAGCTATGCCAGTGCTTTCTTAACTTTGGAGCTGCCGGAAACGATCTGCCGGTTTCTGCTAATTGCTCGTGGCCCACTGTCGTGTCGGAGCCACCTGTCTTTTCGATCGCAGCGCTTGTCGCTATTTATTAATATATTAAAAGCGCGGTTTTTTAAAATTA